ACTAAAGCAATTAAATATTCCAGAGAAATTTCTAGTTTTACTAGTTTCGATCTTATTTATTGAGACTTAATGAAATTGTAATTTTCTATATTTAATATTAATAAATAATTTATTTATTATTTAATACTAATGTACTATTTTTTAAATTTATTATTTGAGAATTATGTATTTAAAGTCATCATCAGTAGTGGTGTCTATAGAAAAGTAAAACTAAGTTGAGTTAATCGAAAATTGTTGATAGAAACCTTGACATCCTTTCGCGTGAGATGGAGATCCGCGTGAATAAAAAATTAAAAAAAAAAGTGGCCCCTACCTCCGTATTGTGAGCGTTCGGTCAAGGAAACTGTCAATCCCTTCTTGTTAGTGTAGTAGAGTTAAGAAAAGTGTTGTTGACATAAAGCTGAGGTGTTGCCAATTATGAACCAAAGCAATGCTAAAGATTAGTCTGATTAGGAGGAACTAGTGCTTGTGTATAGTAAATCTACTAAAATTAATTTATAAAAAGGAAAATGTATATTAGAGTTTTGTGACGAAGAGTTATCTGAATTGTGTCGTATTTGCATTTTTGTCTTTTAAAGATTTGTTGTGTCGCTAGTCTCTAATAATCTATACAACTCTGGGCCAATATTTGCATTCCAATTTACTTGAACCGGGAAAAATTTCGATGAAAAGCCTGAAAGATAGAGAGATAAGTGAATTGGTCTAAAGATAACGTTTTCAATAAGTTGATGCATTATACCTTTTTGCCTTCGTATCGTTCCTAGAGTATGTAGTCAGACTTAGCGAACTATTTCTTTCTATAATCAGAAAATGCTTTTAACACTTTAAAACAAACCCGACTCTAAGGACACTATTCGTAGCAAGGGGTCTATTGGAGTAATCAGAAATACACTTTGAAAGCAATTTGACCGTACTACTATTGGCCCTTACATTGCATTTCGATTTCACCTCATTGTATGGTTCAATATTTAAGCAAGGGAACTATGGATTTGTCAGAGTCCCATTTTTTGACATAATAAATTTTGTGATAGTGAATTTTTGGAAAATGTTTGATTAAAAAGTAAGAAAATATTTTAAATTTACGTGTAAAATAATATTATTGGGAGAATATGTGGTTGAAAATGAGTTTGATGAAAATTGAAATTTTAAATAATGGGGCTCAAACATGAATTAAAAAGACATATTCTTTCTTTGAAGTAAAACGTGATTTTTAACTCTTCTATGTGAGGTTTTGAGTAAATTAAAGCAAACAACGAATGGAAAAAATGTGTTAGGCGATTTGTCATGGGGTCATGCACAGGGGAATTGTTTGCAAGCACCTTATTGGTTCCTTTTGTGTGTGTGTTGTCAAGAACCAATGAAAAAAGGTCGAGCGGAAACTTGTAAAAAAAAATGAAACTTTACCAGTACACCTAGCATGGTTTCATGTCATTAGCCATATTGAATTGAAATGCATTGGACTCATTGACTCACTGTGTGAAAATGACAAGCACCATCAATTGTTGAACAAACTTTTGGACTGCTAGAGTTGCCTCAACTATTTACATTCTGAAAATGGGCCATTCTCATTAGATGACGGCTTCTTGACTCTTCACTTCTTCGTCGTTGTATTTGGGAAAAATCAAAATCGTATTTGTTGATGGCGAAAAACAACGTTGTACTTTTTATCTACTTAAACAAATTTAGGGGCTATTTGGGCCCGATTTTTTCACCAAAAAAATTGATTTTTTTACCGTTATTTTATTATTCCAGCCGTCATATTTGACTTCTTCTCTCACAGGTGGACCCCACTTTTCTCCTAACGGTCAAAAAATCAATTCTCAAAATCACTCCCAAACAGGCTCTTAAATTGAATAAGAGTGTTATAATTCCGAAGTATGGTAATTGCATAGAGAGAATTTTAGTTTGGATTTCCTTCTCATTCACACGTTTCACCTTTGTCCTTCTATGCAGATTAGTAGAAAGCTTACTATCAAAACATGTCTATCAATAGTATTTTTGACTCGTGTGTCATTGCCCTTTTGAAGGAAACTGATTGATCGTTGAGTCTTGCCGTGATGGATCATCATGATACTATTTATTTGAACTGTGGCATAAGCCATCATATTGTCTTTCTGATTAATTCGTTTGGGCGGTGTTGATATCAAGGGAACACTTCCTCTATCATGTCATGATTATATTTTCGTACAACATCTCTCATGGTCTGATTCATAACTCTATCGATGAGGTATTGAATCAAGAGTTGATCTATCTGAATTTTTCGATAAGAATGCTCTTTTGACCAAATCAAAGAGAACTATCATCTTCTAACATGAATTTTAGATCGACAACAAGAATATTCATGCTTCCTTCTTCCCATATGGCCACTTAGAAAAGTCTTATAATAAGGTTAAACATTTATTTTTATTGTCAAATATGTTCGAATATAAATCATGTCAACCATTTTTTGGTTTTTTTATAATGTCAAATTATTATAATTATATTCTTCAAAAGTGTTCTCAAATTATCTTCTGCTTTTTGCACGAATATCGAATTATCAAATTATTTACAAAGTTAACAAGAATTTATAATTCATCTAAACACTTTCTCCTCATTTTCCTACAAATTTCGAAATATTTGACTAAGTACTAGATAAAATAGGAAGAGTTTATAGTCCATTTGTTTACTCTATTTTGTAGTCTATCTACACACTACATTAAGGCCCCGTTTGGTAGAGATTTTTTGTCCCAAAAAATTAATTTTTTGGCTCAAAAAATTGATTTTTTGACCGTTATTTTACTATTCAAGTCGTAATTTTTGACTTCTTCTCTCACATGTGGACTCCACTTTTTTTCTAACGGTCAAAAAATCAATTCTCAAAATCCCTACCAAACGGACCCTAAGTTCCTATTTGGTGGGAATTAAAATCAAATTTTTGGTAAATTTTGGTAAAACTTGTTGAAATGTATAGTTGAAAAGTTGTGAATTTTATAAAATGTATGGTTAAAATTAGTTGTTGACTTTGACTAAAATTAATATGGATTTTAATTCATCCCAAATGAGGGTTAAATGTGTCTTTTGCATATATTATACATAAAGGACAATGACCATTCTTTATTGACCAAAAGATGCATAAAAACAAAATAATTTTTTTACTTTAAGCTATGGAGAAAGCTTTTAGCAACTTCTAGGCTGCTGTGTTATTGACTTTGACGGTTGACCCTTGGCTGCCTAATAAAGTCTTCTTGTATATGTTTTATAAGTTGAATAGATTTGACCGATTTAATCAAGGCAATTGTTAAAGCCATTTCAAAAATCATAAAATATTAAGAGAAATACAAAAAGTTTAAAATAAGTTCATAACCATCCAATTTAATCATAAAAACAGATTTTTTGTTTTGTTTTTTCAGTATTTTTTTATCACCAATTCGACTCACCTCAATCCTACTATCATTTAAAATTTCTGAGTTGGCTGATAAGTTGAATAGATTTGACCGATTTAATCAAGGCAATTGTTAAAGCCATTTCAAAAATCATAAAATATTAAGAGAAATACAAATAGTTTAAAATAAGTTCATAACCATCCAATTTAATCATAAAAACAGATTTTTTGTTTTGTTTTTTCAGTATTTTTTTATCACCAATTCGACTCACCTCAATCCTACTATCATTTAAAATTTCTGAGTTGGCTCATTTTCAAAACATTAATTGTCTAAAAGGAAAGCTATTCTCACTATCTTAGTTAGCCCCTGTTTGATGGTTATTTTTATTTTCAGTATTTAAAAAAGTTTTTATATGTTTTATTTTTTTAATATTTTTTATCACCAATTCAACTTTCTTCGACCCTATGTTCATTTACAATTCTTGATTTGCTTGATTTTCAAACAATTTACTATTGTTGATTTGCTTGATATCAGAACATTAATTGTCTAAAAGGAAAAATATTCCCACTGCGGTGATTTTAATTGGATGACGTTATTTACATCCACGGCCTTTATATATACATATATTTTTAAAAAGATAATTATATTATATTTTTAATTTTATGTAAAATTTTTTAAGTAGACATTTTTAAAATTAAATAATAACATGTCATTCTAAATTCATCCACTCATATTTATTTTCATTAAATTCATATGAACCTTTTTTTATGTTCTTTTAGAATTTATATTTAATTAAAATTCCAATAATCATAAAATATCATCTTTAGAGCTCTAACATGGTTAGCATCAATTAAACTATATGAACTTTATCATTTGTTTTAAATTCATATATAATTTTTTTTATTTCAAAATCATGCATAACCTCAATAAGTTGATTTTTATTGAATACAAAAATAATTTTTGTCAATCAAATATAAAAGACCAATTCATGTGGCAAATAACACACCTACAAGACATTTAATTATATTTTAAATATAACATTTTGTCTTATATAATTAATTATTGAATTGTAAGTACGTTGCTGTTATGTGTAATCAGGATGAACATAGTGATTTTTTAAAATTTTAAAATTGTATCAGTAATGTATCATAGTGAGATGAATATATAAAATTTGTATGAATATATAGTGTTGAAATGAATGAACTCAACAACAACAATATTATAATATGACGTCGATGACATAGTAAATTTTTAAAATTTTAATATTTTAGTAAGGATAAATATAGAGTATGATGAATATATAAAAACTGTTGATCTAAATAGCTGTACCCTTTTATTTTATTTTTTTTGGAAAAAAACTTATGTTCAATAAAATATTTTTTTCGTAAATTCATATATATTAATTTTTTTACCTTTTCTTTAAAAAAAATTACTTTTACAAAATTTATTTTAAAATAATCTCTACCCATAATATCGGCATTTTCTCTACTCTAACAAAACTAAAATCAATAATTGCTATCTACGCCCAAAAGCCATTTTTGATTTTTCGACATTTCTCACTTGTGCAGCACATGGTCGGTTTCTTCCCATCAGCTAGGAAATTGCCAGAAGGGCATCTTTCCACTTCTCTCATGTATCACACCATGTGGTCGAGTTACTCGTGTCGTGCCCATCTACCCCACCACCGACCCGCCCTATATATATTTGCTCCTCCTCTGCCTAAACATTTGAGTGGAGAAACGATCAAGCTCTTCTTTTCATTTTAATTCAAGAATAAAAGAAACAGAGAAACTGAAATGGCGAGTGCGGGAGTGACAATGCAGGTAGGCAATGAGGCCGTTGCAATCATCACTATTTGTAATCCTCCTGTCAATGCTCTTGCCATTCCAAGTAAGCCACGAAACTATTACTCCCTAAACATATGTTGAAACTAAGAATTAGACAGTATACTAAAAACGTAAAAAGTCATTTACTGTTTAACATATAGATGCAATATATGTTTATATATATTAGAATGATTTTACTTTTTATTTTTTTTATTTTTATTTTTTATTTTTTTTGCAGTGATTGAGGGGTTAAGGGAGAAGTTCGCAGAGGCCTCGGCGAGGGACGATGTAAAAGCTATTGTTCTTACTGGTAATTTTCCAATATAGATTTGTTTCCTTTTTTAATTATTCATTTTATAGTTGATTTTTACTCAGTTTGAACTCCATAACTGATGCTTGTTCTATTATGGAGTGTATTCTATCGATTAAAATTTTTGTTCTGCAAATGGTGTTTTCATAAGTTAGTTAATCTAATTATTGAGGAATCGAGTCCAAGTATTTAGTTATTCTACACTATTGATCTGTCAGGTGTAAGTTATTCAATTTTCATGAAGAAATTTCTGCTGAAAATAAAGCAAAATTTTAAGGCTGGTTTTATAATGCTCAATGGAGATGCTTAACTTGCATGAATTATTCTTCTTGTACAACCCCGGTTGACAATGCACTCATGAGGGGGGACCCACACTTCTTTTATTCAGCATGGGCCCGCTCCCATGTGTCTAATTGTTAATCAGGATTGTCAACCCCGGTTGTACACATAGCAGAACTGAATCTCCTGATTATAGACTTCAATACAAAATCGGACTTACAAAATAATTTATGTCATAGGCAGCATGAGATGATAATAAGCAAAGGCTCTCCTTTGCTTAATTCAATCAGTAGTTTAAATGAGAAAACACTCAAGGACCCGTGTTGCATTACTGGATAGGAAAATATAGGTAGAATACTATAAAATATAAGATTTAGCCCCACTTTTGGCAAATTTAGAAATTATTTGTGAAGAGAAATAGTAGTAAGTCTTATGTAATGAGTAGTAGTTATAAATATGTTGTTGAAATTAATATTTTACTTTAACTAAACTTATAAACCATTTATAAATTGGCAGCCAAATAGAGGCTTAAATGATATATGTTGGTTCTCTATAATACTATTAAGCTTTTAGATTACAACATGAGAAAATAGAATTTCTTTCTTCTTCTTTACAAAAAATAATAAATAAATAAATAAAAATTAGAATTCCTTTGGCACTACGACCTTTACCACAATGGTGATGTCTATGGAGTCAAGTTATTTAATATTTCGAATAAATCCTTACGCACTGGCGGAGCCTTATTATGCCCGCACTGAACTTTTAGGTCCAACCCTTTTTTTATTTTTATTTTTTTTTTAATATTAGCAATGACCCATGATTTTGCTTGATTTTAGGCATATGTTGATTTGGGCTTCAGTTATTTTTCTTTCAATTACTTGGTAATAACGTTATTGTATAACAATATCAAATATATGAAAACTTGCAAGGAACACGTTTAATTATAAACTATGTCATTTTTAGTATTATCGCAATTTTGTTTTTATAGTTTTATTATCGTTAAATTCATGACCAAAACTCAATGTTTGACGTGGGTTAAATCATGCCAACACTGAAAGAATTTTCTGGCTCCTCCCCTGTCCCTACATTCAAAACTACTTGTTATCCAATAAAACCTAGTGCAGAAATATGTAATGAATTCAAGTCTATCCATCACAATTTAATGAAATTGTACACATGTCTGGGCTTGATGTAAATATAAAACCTACTTACACCTGAGGAAGTATATTAAAGACTATGTTTAAATGATTTATATGTGATCCTCTCTAACAATTTATGCTTTTAGATTAAGTGGCCAAAAATACTAAACTATGAGATAAGTCGATTATAAATTGATATATGAGGGATACATCAGTTATAGATTAACGCGCAACCTTCATTGTTCTATGTAAAAAGAACCATCAAACCCTTATGGTTTATATCTAGAAACATGGAAAGAGATGCTTTTATGTTAGTGACAAAGCCAAGCTTGTGGAACTGTTGATGTAATGAAAATACCTGCCTTTTCAAGGTTTTATATACTCTGCCAATATGTAGAGTTTGATAAGAATTATGCTTACTTATATAAAATTCTGCTACCTTCTGCTATATGAATAAGAAGTCCTAGATAATCCTGATTAGATTCTGCCTGTTATTTGATTTCTGGATATATATTATAAGGGAACAATGTTTTTGATAGGAAACAACTTAGTCCTCAATGAAAGCCTTCCACTCTCGAGGTGTGGGAAGTCAATACCGAAACATGGAAATAGAAATTTAAAGCATGACTTCATTATTCTGATTGCGATTGAGAGGAAATTTGTCTAAGTTATGTCTAACAATTTCCATCATTTCTTGCTAAGAACTTGTAATTAGTTTTGATATCTAATCAAATTGCTTCCTTCAATATCGTCCCAAGAATGTAAAATCTGAAAATTCAGCATCATTTCTTGAGTGGCAAGAATGTTAATGATTCCAGCAAGAACAATGAACGTCTGTTGGTTAGTAGGAATGAGTTTTTTACATGATTCGCATGAATAAAATGAACGATTGACATCAAATTCTACCAACTTTCTAAAAGTGAGCCTATCTCCTAATTATACTTGGTGACCTCATTTCTAACATAGACACCTGCAAATGAATCAGTTCTTAGGCAGCCCTGAACCTAGCTAAATTCCCTTCAACACTCAAATAGACAGGGGTTAGATGGTAAGAGAATGGAGCATCCCTTTGGATGTTCTAATAGTTAGAGTTTAATAATAACTATGCTCCATTATCCTATTAGATTTCGTAGTCCCTATGCTATTTGAATCAAATATCATGGATAATCTTTAATGATGTCCATCGCAACTTCTAGGCAGATATCATAAAGAAATACTGCTTTAATTGCTCCAGATTTCGTTCTCGTAATACGAAATTTGGTAAAATTAGAATGTATTTATGGTGATAATCAAGAAGTTAGTTGAAGATTACTGCTGTTGTGGACTTCGCATTTTTGGTTTTATGTGAAAGATCTTTCAAAATGAGGATCGTGGTTGCTCCAATCTGTGAGAGTAGAGTGTGAATCATTAAATTTGAGGACATCCTGGTAAGCTAATATTACGATAATATTATTTATTTTAAGTCTTTTCATTTTATGCAATAAGCTCGATAATACATAAGTTTTTTGAAATTTCGATGGTCTGGTAATATTCCTTGCTCTCCTTCACTTTTAGATGGAAAATTTGGTCTGCTTCTTTGGAATTAACATGTGACCTTTTCCCTTGACTTCAGGCAATGGTGGGAGATTTTCTGGTGGATTTGACATCACTGTCTTTGGGAGAATGCAGAAAACTGGTGTGTCTACATTAATTTTTCTTAATTATTCATATGGTTTGTTTCTATAAACAGAACTCTGTATTTGAGAATTGACTAAATTTGTTGGATATGCAGGAGATATTTCTATCTTGCCTGATTTATCAGTTGATCTCGTGGTAGATGTAATAGAAGGTGTTTGACTAATTCCATTGTTGAATTTTTTTAGCTGTATAAGAGATTTAGTTTCTTTTTCCACTTCCATCAGAGTCAGGTTTCATGTATGGTTTTAATACATTTGTTGTTCAACTTCTTGTCTTAATAGATGCAAAGAAGCCTGTAGTCGCTGCCATCGAGGGGCTTGCACTAGGAGGTGGCTTGGAACTGGCACTGGTTTGTGTTCCCTTTATGTCATGGCTGGTTTCCTATTAACGTGGGAAGTTTTCATTCTACCCATCGTATCTGTTCACTTTTATGCAGGGATGCCATGCACGCATTGCTGTGCCAAATTCACAACTTGGTCTGCCAGAACTCAGCCTTGGGATCATTCCTGGCTCTGGAGGTACAATGGCTACTTAAACTAAGATTGCTTGCGTTAAAAGATTGAAGCAGAGAAGATTCTTTAATTTTAATTAAGACGACTGTGAACTAACCATGTTTTCCTTTCAAGGCACGCAACGTCTTCCAAGGCTTGTCGGGTTGTCAAAAGCTGTTGAAATGATGATGGTAAGTTTCTCTCCCAGTAATATGGCAGTGAAGCTAAAAGTTCCGAAACATATTTTTTCTCTGCAGAATTTTTAAACTACTGTTGTTTTTATCTCATCTCTAGGTTGTGTTCCCTTCATAATGATCTGAGATTGAAGTTATCATCTCCTTATTAATTACACTACAACAAATTAATTATTAATGAGAATAACGTACGTGCGCTCTTTTCTGTCATTTGCAAAATACCTTTAGCGTAAAAAACAAAAATGAGCACTTAAGGTTGCTCCAAGTATCATGTTGGGTACGCAACGTCAAATTGTTTCATATTGGTCACCATACTTTCTGAAACATTCCAGTTATCTCTTCTAACAAGATTTTTTATTTTATTTTATTTATTTTGTATCTGCTCCTTTTTAATAGGAATAATTCGCGTTTATCAATTTTATCATTATGTTAACTTCATATTAATATCATCCTACGCTCGGTGCTGATTACAGTCATCTAGACCGATAACGGCTGAAGAAGGAAAGAATATTGGTCTTATTGATGCTATTGTGCCTTCTCAAGAATTGCTGAAAGCATCTCAGCAATTGGCATTAGACATTGTTGGCGGGGTCAAACCTTGGCTACGCTCTCTTTACAGGACAGACAAACTTGGCTCCCTATCTGAAGCTCGTGATACACTAAAGATGGCAAGACATCAAGTCAAACAGACCTATAAAAATATGCCTCAACACCATGCATGCCTTGATGTGATTGAAGAAGGAGTCATCCGTGGAGGATATGATGGAGTTTTAAAGGTAATTTTCTATGTAGGACCTGGTTCATTTGAATGGTGTCTCAACCTGTTTGTGGGTAGGTCATTGGTTCCACTTAAATCTTTATTCTCGACTTTGTAAGAATAGAATGGTCAGGCTAGTTCTTTGATTAGCAACTTTGTACTGCCTATACATTGAGCTTGTCTTCTGGACTCATTTGGTTCTTTTGGTAGCTCAAAGATGAGAGTTTTGAGAATCAAGAAATGTTCTTGAGCTCATTCCTGTGCAGCCACAAAAGACTTGTACCTTCAAATGAATGAAATGTTATCCAAATATTTCATTTTCATTTATGAAACTAAAAGAATCATGTGAAATAATACATACTATTATTATTATTATTTTGTAGGAGGCAAAAGTGTTTAAAGAGATAGTCCTATCAGACACGGCGAAAGGTCTTTTCAATGTGTTTTTTGCCCAAAGGGCAACAACAAAGGTATGAATGATCCAAGAAATGCATTACACACTTCATTGATTGTTGATATTAGCAATAGCAAACCCCCATTTCTTTTCCCCTAGTCTAATAAATGAAAAAATGGTGGGAAAGATTGAAATGATGTTAATAACTGCATCGAACGAAGTTAACCACAAAACTTTTTAACTCTCAAGAAGGCTTTGTATCCATTTGGAGAAGTTGTCTCTTTTGATCATGTCTGCAAAGTAACTCATTAACACCAGATATTTGTTTGACACTGATCCCTGAGATGAAGCATGGACCTATGATACTCGAACTCGGGTATGATTGTCGGGTACGGGTACGTATCTAAGTGTCGGATCTTTTTTTTTTTAAATGTAGGATACGGGAACATGATTAAAAATAGTTCAAATTTCGGACACGAGTACGTAAATACGTCTTCCAACCTTCAATTTTTTTACTAACCCAAGATGCCATTTTGAATAAACCAAAATCAATTATTTACAAAGAATAAAATGAGTATTGAATAAGGGGTTAAGACGAATAAATTAAAATTTTGGGGTTTAATTTTCAATTAGGGTGTGTTTGATTACATTTATTTTCCATGGAAAATATCAGTTTTCCACGCAAATTTCTATTTGGAGTGTTTGACTGCTATTTTTTTCCATGGAAAACATTTTCTAACTTTTAAAAATATGCCTAATTTTCCTTATTTTTAAGGAAAATATTTTCTTTGGGTAGAGGTGGTTTTTATTTTCCACAAAAGGAAAACATTTTTTTTTCTAGGTGGTATTTTCCATGTCAATCAAACACACTCTTATGAAAAGTTAACTACTAAATGTTATATAAAATAGAAAATGAGGGACTTGATTATAATTTGAACTTAGTGGAGCACTACATAACACTATATAGAACCCATTTTCATTTTATACAAACAAAACCCTGGACCACCGATACATAGAGAGAGAGAAGGAAAAAAAGAAAGGGAAAAAAATGAAGAAGAAGAAGGGAAAATCTAGTGCCGTCGCCTTTTTCTACCCTCTCGGAGGCGACGTTAGGTTTATAGAGAGCAGAAACAAAAAAAACGGAAAAAAAGCAGCAGCAAAATGATGAAGTGCTCGATTGAAACTTGGAGGATCCGATACATCTCATATCCGTGTCCGACATGGTACTTCAACTGTTTCGAAGAGTCCAAGCATCAGGGGCATGGATAGGCTTTTGCTGTTAATGAGGTTAAATAAAGATTACAAAGATCATTGAAGATTACATAATATTACGACTATATTGTACCATATATGAATATATTGCTTTTGCCATATTTAATTTGATTTAGTTCTATTTAATGAGAGAACTTAAATTAGAGGCATCGAGTCTTATTGAGTATTTTTATCTCAATATTTGACATGTATCATAGCCGACTTAACTTTATTTTGGGTTAAACTTGTAAACTGTTGTTCTCGGGTCAAATTTTCTTGTTCCAGTCCAGTCTTCTTCCTCTCTTGCTTTCTTCAAATTTTCCCAAGCAAAATAGTCCAGCAGTAGTCGGTAGTGTAATTAACAGCAGTTCGAATCATATTATTGTCTTCTTTCCCTTAAATTTTCTCTTATTTCAATTATACCCAAAACCAGAACCAATAATAGTTTGTCGGTAGTGATGTATTTTGTTAATTGAGGCCAGTAGTTTAGAGGTAAGCTGCTGTTATGAATTTTGAGTTGGTAGGTTTGAAGATGGGGATGAAGGTAGAGATTTGTCCCTTTAATGCAGTGATGGGGTTTGGCAAGGTGTTGTTGAAGAGAATGCAGCGATGGAACGGGGTCGTGACGCTAGTAGTGGCAGGAAGCTTCGGTTTGGTTTAGAGATGTGAAGGGGAACTGGGGAAGTGTTTGCATGTAATTTATTTTTATAAATGGGCTATTATTTTGGTTTTTGGGCTTGCTGCAGTTTTTTTTTTTTAGGATAGGTCTTATATGGATCGATTAGCATTGGGCTCTTTTGGGTTGGTTAGATTGAGGTATTCTTCCTTGGCTTCGAGAGAAAACAAGATGCCTTCTTTCTTCTTCCAGGCCCGTCGTTGCTGCTGTTAAGATTTGGGGTTCATCTTAATAAGGTCAACCTTATCAAGAGGAGTGATCCAAGATCTATTTAAGTTGGTCAATATTTCGATATTTAACCGATGTGGTATTTATTCCCTTAACATGCCCTCGCAAAATGGTGGCTCTTTTTTAGTAGACCAATCTTGAAATCCGTGTGCTCATTTTTTAGACTTAATCAGATCGAATAGCTTGTTGGATCTTATTGGGCTCTGATCCCGTTTTAAGATTTGAGTT